CCCTAAAGTTAGAATGCACTGTAAAGTCCATTTCTTTACTCAAAACTTGTGATAATAAAATCAGTAATAAAGTACTTCCTGACACTAACTGTTGTACTGAAATTGCAGAATCCTGAATCAAAGATGCCCTGAACAAATTGCTTATACACTTAACACCTGGGCACTTGCATGTGTGTTGGCATACATCAGATGATCTTTCACTGGCAAATGTGAGGTTTTTCCAGGTAAGCAGGCCATTTTGCCCAGCTCATCTGTTTCATGGACCTTTGAAAATTTGACCCTCTGCGCTTCAATTATAAACATATCAAATGAACAGGCAGACTTATTTTAACCACTGGAATTTGGCTACAAAGCATTCTGCCAAATGCTCCTCTGAGTTCTACCCATACAACCTTACTGAAGTCAATGGATTGTTTGGCTGGGATTCAGAGGAGTATCTGGCCCATTATCAATAACTGAAACCCTAATAAAGAGGCTGAAAAAAACACGCCTTTGCAAATCAGGCACTCCATGCAAGAGGAACTGTGAACAGAAACAATTCCACTTATGGGAAAAACAAATACTTCACTGTCTGATATCTTGAGACAGGTTTGCATTCCATTAACAAATGGATATCGTTTCTAATCATACTTTGATTTATTAAAAAAACCTATAATCATTATAAATAAACAAGGAAATGCAAGAGAAGGGAATTCTTTTTATTTGTTTCTGTCGCTCAATAATTTTTCTTCTCTCTCATCTGTGTGTTTCACAAACAGAAATAGAAACAGTTTGTGCTATTGGTACAAATAGCCTTACTTCTTTTTTCCTGGAACCCTGCCTAGGTGAATCTCCTTCCCACAACCGAGATGCCAGTCTGAATGCAGAGACACTTGTGCAGAGGCAGAAAGAGAGGGAGAGGGAGAGGATGTGCTCAGGTTATCCGTAACTAGAACAACGCCTTCCCTCTAAAGTAAACAACTCCCAGTAACAGTCAGTGCAAAGAGCAGCTCCCTACAGAACCACACCTCTGTTTCTTATAATCCAGATTTCATTCCCCAATGATCTAAATTGTATTTTTATGGCTTCATACCTTTACATTGAATAAAAGGAGGCTCCTGCACAAAAGCCAGAAATATCAACCAGTTAAACACCATGATTGAGAAGCAAATAAGCAATCAAGCCAGACAATATTATGAACAGAGCAAGTTTTCTAAAGCAGTTCTTTTAGTGACAGTCTCCTGACTGGAAATCAATTTAGCACTGTAAAAATAAACCCTGTGATCAGAAAAATCTAGGGCTAGGTACAGAAATTACACAAGCTAGTATAAGTGACCAGAAACCAGTCTAAACCTGTACCAGAACAGTTCAGTACACACAGACTGATTTCAAAACAGCAGACCCCCATTTAAAATAGACCTGGATGGATATAGTATCAGATTTAATCCATTTAGGTTAGACCAGTCTATCGAACTTCTGTTCCAGATCCCTTCCCAGCACAAGTTATTTTGCAGTCCCCCAGCATTTTAGGATGTTTTGCAGCTCCCCGTTAAGTCCCCCATCCAGGGTGGGTGGGGTAGCCATGACTCAGAGGCTTGGAGAAAAAATATGAATAACAACTTGGGAAATCATGCAGTTAAATCCAACTCTGCAACAAGATCAAAATGCCCATCTAGATATTTTTCTTGGCCATGGCAACTGCATATAATTGCATATAAGCATGAACAATAATCTAATCCTCACTGAGACAAAAATATGATGCTATGGGCTTGATTCTTTATAACTCAGAAATAATGATAAAATAATCTTTTTTTCCCATAAAAATATATATATTCCACCAGCGCAGGCAGAGGACCAAGACAAAAACTGAGAACCTGTGTGAAGCAGAATGGGTCTCTCTCTCTATTCTCCTGTAAGTAAGTCTGCTTTGCTGAGTACTTGACAGTGTCTAGTGTAGATATGAGCAGCCAGACTGAAAGCTGTCCCTAAAGTACTGTGTCCCAGAGACATAATTCATGGTCGCTTCTGCTGCAGTAAGCTGAGGCTATTGACTGATGTCTCTCTCAGAGGACTGTAGGACTTATGTGTGTCATATGGTATAGTTGTGGACATCAACTGAAGGACTACTGGCACCAAAGTGATTTACCTAAAACGGGCATATTGCCAGACTATGGGAAACTCTCCTTTAGACCTAAAGTAGGCAGCTACCCTGGGCTGAAAGATCTATTAAGCACAGGTGAGCTTTGTGCATGAATGAGAAGGAAAAAAGAACTCCCAAGTGAACTCTACCAGGATGTCATCCCCAATGAGTGGTTGCAAATTAAAGATAGTATATCAAAAAGCATTCTATGACATATTGAAGAATTAGAAATATTTTAGATTTTCACTGCCTGAGATTCTTCCTGTGTTAAATTTCATTAACTACAAGCCTACAGGTAGTTTCCATTTGGAAACTGAGTAGCTATTAGGCCTGTGCAAAGTGGCTAGTATTAGCTTTGGATGCAGATTCAGCCAATACAGGGGACAGTGATTCAATTCGGTGATTCGAATCACTGTCCCGAATCAATTCAGCCGCATCTGCTGCTGCCAAATCTCCGAAACACCCAGGCCCACCCCCCACCTGCTCTCCCAGCATGGCAATGGCTGCCCTGCCCAACCCAGCTCCCAGCAGTTGGGGAAAAAAAGCCCCGACTCACCGGGTGCTGCCAGGCAGGTGGGTGAACCCTGCTGCCCCCCACTGCACCATGCTGTGTGGAGGGCTGTGCACGAGCCCCCCAACCCTCCTCCTGCTCCCCCAGTCCCTCCATGGCCTCCCCACCTGCCGCAGCTCTGGCCCTTTAAAGAAAAAAAAATGAGAAAATCCCCCCCACACATTGCTTCTGCCAGACAGGGAGCAATCCCCACTGCCCTGCACCATGTGGGGGGCTCTGCACAAGCCCTCCAAAGTCCCAAGGCCACTGCAGGAGCGGAGAGTCCCAGGGTTTTGTCGGGTTTTTTTTTTCTTAAAAGGCCAGAGCTGGGGTGGGCAGGGCAACTGTGGGGCAGGGCTGGGAGAGTGGGGGAGCATCGTGGGGCTCATGGCAGAGCCCCCCATGCAGCATGGGGCAGTGGGGAGCAGCGGGAACTCCCCCCCCCCACACCCAGCAGCACCCAGTGAGTCGGGGCTTTTTTTTAAAGTACCGGGAGCTGGGGTGGGCAGGGCAGCCATGGGGGGACTGGGGAAGTGGGTGGGGGTCAGGAGGGCTGGGGGAGCAGGCAGGGGATGGGACCTGGCAGGGGTCCCCCCATGGTCCCCTCTCCTGCCCCCTACTTACCAGCTCCGAGTCTGGCTGAAGCTCTCTGCTGCAGCCACTGGGGACTGTCCAAATTGTCAAAGCTCTCCGAATCTTTTCAGAAGATTCGGAGAGCTTCAAACCTATTCAGACCTTTTAATTGGTCCCCTGATTCGATTCAGAGATTCAGTCACCAGATTGGGCCAAATCTCCCCCAAATCGAATCACCACCCGAAGCTTTGCACAGACCTAGTAGCTATATTGTGCAACTTATGGACAAATTAGTACCCAGTGCTTTCCTAGTTATCAGCAGACAACAATGCTTTTAATAGCCTTACATTTGAAATGATCATTTTTGGCATTTTTTAATTGCTGTCATGCATAGAAAATTTTGGTAAAACTGTATATTTTATTTTTATCAGTCACTCTGTATTAGGACTTTTCCACCTACCTAATACATGTGTAAATGTCACCATTATACAAAAGAGACCCAAAAAAGGAGCATCTAAACACAATTATTGTATCAGCTAATGGAACCAATTATAAATTAGTTACAAAACAATCAGTTTTCCTTCTGTTTATATCTATAATAAATGCAACTATGTCAGGACATTTGGTTTCCTGGTGGAAAGGTAAAACGACAAGCATTCATTTTCATCAGAAAAAGTCTCTCTTTTTGTTTTAATATTAGTGAGGACTCATTCACATGATGAATATAAATCGTTGTTCCCATATATTTTTAGTTTTCATTTAATGAAATTTTAGCAATAAGCAGAAATAAATCTGTACAATATATCTCGTGTAACTGGGATACCTTTTTAAAATACCTTGGAGAACTGCTGACAGTGGGGGTAAAAAACATTTTCTTTCCAATTTCCAACCCAAACAACAACATCTTGATTTTCCTTCAAAAAAAAAAACCAATTGAAGAATCACATAGATTGGGATAAAAACACCTTACGTAACCTCTATTTGAGTTTTCTCCAAATTCTTTTATTGGCAAAGGGGTCCCACTTTGAATAAAGCCCAAGTACAACAAACATAGAAACATACACAACAAAATGCAAACTCCCATTGACTTCAGTGGGGCAGGATTTTATCCAGAGTGCCTGTTGCGTTTCCAAGAAGAATATGAATATTAAAAATAAATACATAATCAATCTCATAGTACCGTGCTTCAAAGGGTTGATTATTGAAGCAAAGGGTTAAAAAAATATGTGAATGTGGTGCCCCCCACTATAACATGTTCAAGATATATTATTGGGGGGAAAAACAGTGCCAAGTACTGCAACTCCAATATGTTTTTTATTGCGGGATATTTTCTCTCTCTTCTTTTCTCTGCAAACATTGAGTTGTAGAACTAATGTAAATGAACTAATACAATACACCTGGAGTTTGTGCTAAACTCTTACTCTTGCTCATCACTAGCTTTTAAACACAAGAAATTCTTTGTTCTGCATACATGACTGTTACTCAAAAGGAAGCACCCAAAAAGATAGGCTAAGGTGCCTGGAAAGGGCTCCAATAAAAACAGCTATTTATTACTGTTATTGCCCTTATACACCTGAAACAGGAGAGTACATAGAATAAAATATGTCTTAACTTTGTGTTAATTTGTTCCAATAACCTCATTAAAGTCAATGGGAGCTTTTAATGAAGATCAATGGTAGGTTCGTGTGCTAAATGTGTATTTTTTCTGTTCTGTGACTCCTATATTATGACCAAGTTTAAATATCTGATATACTATACCTTTAATTTCTCCAAGGAGCTCACTTGTGTTCAGTCTTTCCATTTTCTCCTTCCAGTCTTTAGAAAGTAGCTTTTCCATGCAGGATGAGTCTATTAACAAGGAAATGAAGTATTTAATACAAAGTTATGGATTATGAAAATATGTGCCTCCTTATTTGTTCTTAACTATCTTAATTATCTACCTATTTTATCCGGATCAAAATTTCAAAAGGAGGTATGTAATTAAGGCCAGACAATGCCTTTATTGGCTTCTGTATAAATCCACAGTAACTCCACTGAGGTTAATGGAGTTACTATGGATTTACAAGGATCTAAGTTATAGGAAAAATGGTCCAGAATTTAAGTATGCTTACTGCCAATTTACATGCATAGATTGCCACTGCATATACATATTCTGTCTTTTTTATTTGAAAATGATTGCATACTCAAACTTATACATGAAGATTTAGACTCTCTTTTTGGAAATTTGACTCACGGTGTCATCCCAAATCCATTTTATACATATGTCAATGCAAAAGTAATTCCTATAATGTCTCCATGAAATTAATAAAACAGTCTATATTTCTGATGTTCACAGAATCGGAGTTTTCCTCAGTATGCTATAAACAGTATGCCATGCCTAGAAGATTTGCTTTTAGGTCCTGAAGTTCAGAATACATTTGAAACTTGGGGCCCAATCCAAAGCCTTATTCTGGGAAAATTTCCACTGAAGTCAATGCACTGATGAGAAATGTGGGTGTTTACCCTCAGTAAGTACCAACGTGTGTATCGTGATCAGATCTTATGTCTGCTGAAAAATGTTTAATGAAATCAAAAGCTCTATTCTAGCCCCTTAAGACTACTGAATGTAATGCATATATTGTTTGTAACCTTTTAAAAACAAATTGTAAAAAGTATCATGAAGGTAGGAAATGACTTTCTCATATCCAGAATCTTTCTACTCTAAAGTATTTACTCAAGATTTACAAATGCTCAGTGAAAAGACTTTATACGTAGCTGAATATTTCCAGGTCCCCTTCTGTACCTTCTCAAAGGATTCTAAAGATGGTCAGAAAGGAGATAAGCATTGAAAGGAGACACAAAGGAGAATTATAAAGAGAAGTTAAAGGGGGAAAAGGGGCCTTATGTTTGATGAAACACTAAGAAGTTTCATATTTCAAATATGTTTTAATTTCCTGAAGTGAAAAAAAATAGTTACAAGTAAACGAAGCTACAACCATCAAAGATCAAAGTTTTAACTGCAACACATTTTCACTGTGCAACCTTCCTTGGAAAGACAACACAGCTTGTAAGTATTTTTGAAGTAATATTTCAGTAGAAAAGCTAATTTATTTACTAATTATATCTTTCCATAAAAGAGACAAAATTAAGAAGCTGTAAGTTGCAATAGGCAGTGTTAAAATACTTGTTATATAATAACAATTTAATTTTTAACAATTACAAGCATTTATACTTTTATGAGTTTGGCCTGATAATAGAAGAAATAACAAATAACCATCAATTACCAACAGAACATTATAATTTGTTCTTTTTTGTAATATCATTATCAGTTTAAAAGATGTTTCTTTTTTGCTCCCCTGCCAAAATTTCAGAACCCTCTTGAAGAGCCTTTGGGGTTTATTCTGATGTTTGCCATAGGTTTGGGGTATTAATGCCTTTTTGACAAGATATTTTTCCCTCAATATAAGACACTAAACAGTTTAAGAAAGAAAAAAATAATAGCATCAAAAACAATTATATAATCTCCGAGTTGAGAAAATACTAATTCTTGAAGCACTTATTTTCCTATTTTCTGTAAAAAATATCTGTAATTGATACATTTAGAGAAGTATATTTCTCAAAAATTCCGTTGAGGCTGAACATGAATAAAGGAGGACCAATCTGCATATCTCAATATAATTATGTAACTTACATGATACAAGCTTTCTTAGTCTTCCCAATAATTGCATGGAAAAAATATTATGTTATTTCTTTAAAAGCCATTAAGCAGCACAGGTAGTGTAGTTTGCTGTATCACACTTATGACCAAACATGAAAATTACATTTTATTGTTGTGTAACTTCAAAGGTATGAAATTACATGAGATAGCTGAAGACTGGGAGGTTTCACTACTATTACTACTGCTGCTGCTTCTGCTGTTGTTGTTATTTCTGAAGGTTTGCAGTTAGTGAGAGCAATCTGCGTAACTCCTAGCATTTTAAATTATCACCAGACTCACTGGAAGCATCTTAGATTGGACATGCAGTTAATGGAAAAGTTTATCAGTAACTTGAAATGAAAGTATTTCTATCCCTTGGCCTTGCATACACATGAATGAATTTCAGGATGGTGACTATTAATTGTCTCTCCCGTGTTGTAAAATTTCTGGAACTGTGGAGAGCCCAAGGGGCTGGATGGGCTCTCTATGCTACATCATGCCAGGACAGAGTGGGACTGGTGTGTAGGGTCACTCCATGGCCAGATATGGCATGCAGAGTTGGGCCAGCATGTGGCTAAATCCAACTGATGGGGTTGGGCCAGTGCATGACTGGATCCAGTGTCCAAGACTGGACCACATGTGGGGTTCATTCAACCACACACAATAGTATTTAGGGCGTCGAATTGCACCTATGGACTAACCCCACAAGCCAGCCCTATGCTGGAACCTGGCCTGCAGACCAGCCCCGGACCAGTAATATGGCCCGCAGTGCACCCTCATAGATTTCATAAACATTAGAGGCTGGAAGGGACCTCGCGAGATCATGGAGTCTAGCCCCCTGCCATAGGCAGGAAGTCTGAGGGGATCAAATGATCCCAGCAAGATAAACATCCAAACGCCTTTTGGAAGAGTCCAGAGTAGGTGCTTGCACCACCTCCGGGGGGAGTCTCTTCCAGATTCTGGACACACACACTGTGAATGTCACCTATTTACTGCCTACCTCATCACTTTTAAGCTTTTTATTTGTGTAGCAGGGGGCTTAAATACTGCAGGATTCTCACTCAGTGTGAGACAAAAGGTAAATGAGCAAAAATTAAAAACAAGGTACAAAGCACACTCCTTTCTCCCCTCTCCACACCCATCCCCCCACTAGTCCTAGGACTAAGATGAAAAGGATCTCCCAATTATGACAACGCATTGACAAAAACAATTAACATTAGTCCACTGGGTAATCAATCAGTCATGGAATGGATGGAATGCAGCTCTTTGTCTCAAGACTGGTGATGAAGAACCAAGTGTGCTAGCTGTCACAGCCAAGCTCTTAAGTTCTTCTGACTAAATGAAAGTCATCTTGTTCCTATCAAGGATAGCTTTTGCCCCTCCTCCCTGTCTCTCTCTCTTGATTCCAGTCTCACAGTCCGCAACAAGTGAGCAACCCCAGCTTTAGTTTGCCAGAGTATTGTATGACCTTACAATGGCCTACATCCATCCACATAGTTTCAGATTGTTTTTAATTTACTGAAGTAGCCTCTCGTTACTTTCTTTGAAACACAGATATGAGGAAAGCATTCATGCCATGTGTGTGTGTTTGTTTTTTATGGTAAAGTCATACATAAAAGAAAGCCTAAATGTAAGAGTGCAGCAGCAAAACTTCAAAGCCCTGCACTGTCAGACATTATTATTTCAAATCAGCTTTGAGTTTCTGAGACTTAATAAAACACTATAGTACACAGTGGCATATTTATAACACCCATATCAACTGAACTGTCTTGCTTTTACTACCTTGCAGTGCCTTGTTATTTCTTTTATAATAGGCTCCTTTCAAAACATGTTACAATACTGCAAGCTGATAATTATTACTGATATGAGTTCTAAAACATGACTTGTTTGCATACAATTCTTTTTGAATACATAGATTACATTGTGACAGAAGACAAAAGCACATTGATTTATTAATAATGACTGCAAATGCACAACAAGTGCATAAACAATACAGAAATATAATTCAGTCAACGATAAACGTGACACGTTTTTCTAATGCGTAGCACAACAGCACCCTGGTCCATGACTGGACTCTTAGGTACTATCACAACTCAAATATTAATGGAAAAATGGAAGTAGTTTTTACTTTTTCCCCAAACCCGAACAAGGTAGCATCTTTTCCAAGTTTTTAATGTCCCTTCAAACATTTTGACTTCCAAGTTGAAAATATCATTTCACTGGTCCATGATGAGTAACTCACAAGGACCTGACACCAAAACGACAACAATAATATACAAAATATCATATTATGCAGTATTGGTATTTCCTAGAAAGTAATTCAGAAACCACTGAGATTCACAATTAAAATGCAAGATTAATTTTTTTTAAACAACATAATTGATTTTACTTATTGGTTGTCACGTGCTACTGACTTTTAAACTAATAGCCAGCAGGTTTATTAAATTCATCCACAAAAGTGTTAGTTATACAAACAATGAAGTAGATTTTATTATTTGGTGATTGGATTTAATATGTGTGCATAGTTTGTTTGCACCTTTGACTAACTGTTCTATCACTGTGCCCAACAACAGCTTGATTACATGCCTTTTGTGAATTCGCTGCCCTCTAGATTTCCTTAAGATAAAGAACCACTTAGCATTGCTATATATTATTTTAAAAATTTCATGGTCCTCAGTCCTGGCAACATGTATATTAAAATTAAATACAAACTGTAATATTTCAGGATTAAAGGAAGAAGCTCCAGGATAAATTTAATTCACTTCGAAAGAATTTGTTTTTAATTTGGTGCCAATTCAAACAGAAATGAAGGGCTTTACATTTACAGTGTTGATTTGATAAAAAATATATCATTTAACTATGACTGTCATAAACTTGAGTGCTGAGTGGTGCTATCTATTCTTTTTAATGCAAGGATGTAAAGTTTGTATAATGTTACTAAAATAGAGCCTTTGTTGCCATAGTTACTTTTCGTCTTCTTTCAAATACAAATTATCCTTTTCTCTTTCAATAAACTTTAACTAAAAGAAGTGACAGTAACAATACAGAACTAATCAAAAAACAGCCAGAAGGCTCAATATAAATAGTTGCAATGTTGTACCACTGCCTCTTCTCTAGAAGTAGTTGGGTTTCAATCTTACTTCACTAGGATGGTAGGTCAAAGGACATGCATCTCATCCTTGTCAATTTCCACATTTCTGTCTGAGTGTAATTAATTTTCATGGTATAACAGAAAATTAAAAAATATGGCATTTGAGACTTTTAGCTAGCCAGTGCACTGATTTTTTGACCAACATTTTGTGACTGTGTCGGTTTATTAACCCTTCAACAGTCGGTTGGAATGCAGAGTGCAATACTGACAGCCATATAAACATAAATAATACAGTAATTGGGACAAATATTATTTTAGAAGCAGAAAAAATACTGATCTCTTGGATAACACTTATTATAAGTTGCAGATGCTTATTACTCACTTCTAGGATCTAAATTTCGCTCTGCCACTGACCAGCTATGTGACTCTGGCCAGTTGCTCCACCTCCCCTGTGGTTCTACTTTCCTTCCAGCTCAGCTTTTGTCTGTCTTGAGTCTTTAGACTGTGACCTCTCTGGTGCAGACATCGTATCTCACTATGGGCTTGTAGCGTGTCTAGTACAAATAGGGCCCTGATCCTGGATGGAACGACCCTCCAGGTATTACTGTAAAACAAAAACAAATAAGCAATAATAATGGCCCTCTAATGTGAACAAACTGTTGTAAGCTCAACAATAAAATAACCTCCACGACCAAGTTCATAAGTAGAAATTCTCTCATAAGTGCAACAATGGAAGTCCAGTTGTCATTTGACTACCTATCCCGTCATCTTGCTTAGGAAAACGAACCAAATGAATCTGCAAACTGCTGCACATTTTTTACACGGTGACAAGATTTCCACAATATGATAAAATTAGAACTGTAAGAGCTTGGAGAGCTCTCTTAACTTTTAATTAAAACTCTCCAAGCTCACTAAAATAATTAGGCATTAAAATGTGGTTTTACTCTGAATTCACATGTGCTCCCTTACTGGTCTAGCTCTTGCATAAAACAACAGGCTTTCCAAATGTGAATACTGGTGTTTTAAGCGGAGATAATTTCCAGGCTCGCTTTCTGTATGAGCCTAATGGAAAAACTGAAAAGAGTTTTCAGGCTTTACCAGTTCTGCTTAGAATGGTTTGTTTCAACAGAGTTCAAATCTCTAGTGAACAGCTTGATGCAAAACCCTGGATAAAAAAAGAAATGCGCATTACAAATGCCCCCTACGTAAAGAATAGTCCAAGATGCAATTCTGACCTTTATTTTTATTTATTTATTAAAAAGCAAAACCTTTAACCCTGCAAATGTTTTTGTTCTCCTAAAATAACTCATACAATGCTATATTCCACGCTATTTTTAGAAAAGCAACAAGAGAAAGCATGCTTTTCCCATACAGCAGGGCACTGATATAAACATCAACACAGATGCTCTGTGAGAGAGAGCTGGACTTCTCAAGCACTTGATCATTAAGGAATGCACCAACTGTTTTAGATAATCTCGTGCCAGCTCCAATTCTGCTCCACACTCCCATCTGGGAGTGGCCAACCTTGTCCTGCTCCTAATTTTTCATTTTACTCACTCCTCCATTTCTTTTTCTTTTTTTTTTCTTTCCCAGAACAGAGGGAAAAATGCATTGTGTGCCAAGCAATGCAAGACTAGAATCACTTCCCCAAACAGAGCAAAACTTTCAGACAATTAACCCTCCCCTCTTCTTTCAGATAAATTACTAAGTATAAAATGCAATCTGTTTCCTTTGTTTACTCAATATGAACAATTTGTAAATGACTCAAGGATAAAATTCAGAAAATGTTGTGCTAAATTAGAACTATTATAAACATGCTAATGACTGCTCAACTAAAACATGCAGGATCAGTGTGAAGAAATATATTTAGTTCCTGTGAAATCCAGTTGTATTGCCTCAGAACTATTTGGTCATTAAATTGTATATGATTACTCCAGGAAAATGTTAATTCCCTGAGCATTGCACTAGACGATACACTGTGTATGTCAAAAGCAGCTTTATGAAATGTCAGTGCAACTGCTGAGATGCAATGTTTTGGCACATTAGCAGACGAAAACTATCTTTTAAGCCTGTCAACATTACATGTACATTTCATTCTTCTATTTTAAGTTCCCCTTCCATTATGAGGAGTAGTTTACTATTAGATTGCCTTATTCACTGAAATATGTATCGCTCTATTATTTGTATTACAATGATCATATACAGCAGATTTTGTATAATCACCTTCTTCCCCAAGTGCAGGTACCTCTCATTCACCTTCCAAAGGAACATTAAATGCTGGTAAGAGATAGTCCAAGACTTTATACAACAGCAATCACAGATACCTATGAAATAGGTGGGGGGTACAATTTACTTGTAGCTCTTGAGCAAACGCTTACCTAAAGTGACTTTAAAGGAGTATTATATGCCTATTCTGCTGTTGTCAACCACATACTTTATTAGCCGAAGTAAATCAATCAACAAGATTTGTACCATCTTTTACTTGTGGGAGAGAGGGGCATTCTGTGTTGCTACCAGGTATAGTCCTAAGGCTTCAAGTACAGGAAAAACCTGAGATTTTCCTATATTCCCTTGACTCCAAGCCCTTCTCTGCACACCTCCTGATTACTTTTCTATTCAAACTGGAAAGGAAAAATATACTAAGCCAATTTGTCTGCTTGAGTATATCAGCACAGCTCCAATGAAGTCAGTTTTATTCTTGAATAAAGTTGAAATTCTTCTTGATATTCAGCCTAATTATTCTGTTTCACACCATCTTCCTAGTTAGAGCCCTAAACAATTCACTTCCACCTGCAAAGCTATGCCCCTCAAATCTTGCAGATTTTTATAATATTTTTTCACCATCTTATTACTACAACGTACAGAGATTAAATTCATTGACTCTTTCC